GTGAACCTCTTTTGTGCCTTGGGTTGCTTTAGCCGTGAGCCTTACCTGTGCCTTGGGTTGCTTTAGCCGTGAGCCTTACTTGTGCCTTGGGTTGTCTTTGGTCGTGGGCTTTAGCAGTTGTCCCTTGCTGCCTTTAGTCGTGAGCCTCTTTTGGCCTTGGGTTTCTTTAGCCGTGAGCTTTAATAGCTCCCCCCTTTTCTTTTTGTTGCCCTGGCCGAGAGCCTTACATGCTGTTCATCTCTTTGTAGTAACCCCGGTCGTGAGCATTTATTTGGTTTTTTGGGAAGATTTTATGCTTATTTGATATGTGAGGCTATAGATTAATTTGGAAGTTGGAAGATTTTGATATCAACTTTGGGGTTTGGGAAGATTTGCAAGCTTTATTTGGGAGAGCATTTGGTTGATTTGATTAATCTTACGTTTTTGGGGTTTGGAAAATCAGCGTAAAGTGGGCTTTTATGTGTGTTAGAGGCCCTACTTTTTCAGGTCTCTTCGATAGGAGTTTTTGAGAGCTGATCCATTCTCCTTTTCGGTGTTTTAGATGGATCAGTATCTCATCTCTCTCACCCCATTTTTGTTCTTTTCTTTCCTAGCTTCTTGGTTTGATTTTTGATGCTTATGTCCGACGCATAAGTGTCAACGTATAATCTTTTGCTATATGTGAAACCATCAAATAAAGTCGCAAGTAGTTTGTTTTGGGGCGTACCGTGGTGATGATAAAAGCACACCGAAGATAGAGCAGAAAGATGTCATATCCTATAACATCAAGATCCAAGTATTTGATGAACAATAGGATAACAATATCATTCACCGACATAAGTCTAGCGGGAGTTGGCTCGAACCTCTTTAGATAGTTGTCATAGTTGTCAGTCCCACGCCGACAGCGTAATCGACTTTTGGACAATAAAAAAAATGTTAAAACTTATTTAAAAAAAATAATAATAAAAATATATTTTTTTTGCTATAAAATAAAATTTGATAATTTTTTTTTAAGACTTATGTGCATGTCAAAAACATAAATTTTAAAATACATTTCAAAATTGATTGTCCACCTGAAGAATACCTGTTTAGGCTGGGAAGTAGCCCTCTAGGTGAGGTTCAAGACACACTTCTAGATGAGTGGCGGGATACATTCGGGTAACCGAGTAGCCTTCGTGAACTCTCAAGTACATATACATATATTTGAGCCTAGCCCTACACAAGCGCTTTCCCCCTTACCTGAACTTTTTGTTTTATCGATGCTTTGGACAGAGCACTCGTGTTTATTTTTTTTTCTTCAATATTTCTCCAAAATTTTTAAAGATGTTTACTCGAGTCTTTTCTAGTTGATTTTCTCGAGTTTTCGGTCATGAGTCGTCGGGACACTCTTTTTTTTCGGATTTCCCGGATAGCTTTTCTTCTAGACTTCGCTTTTTGCAATACATTTCAGCTTGCTATATTTAAGAAACAACGGATCCCACGGGCGTACAGGTTCATTTTATATTTACAGAATGTTATACTATTCTTGTTTATACCTGCGACTACCCTGCACAACATGTTATTCTATTATTGTTTATACCTGCTACTGTTCTGTAAAGCATGTTATACTGTTCCTTTTACTGTACTTGTCACCACTCTATATAGCATATTATACTGTTCCTTTTACTATACCTGCTACTGTCATATATGGCATGTACACTGTTTCTTTTATTGTGTTTTCTATTGCTTGCCCTGTACTGCACATTTTATATTACATAGCTTTAAACATGTCTCCTTTCTATATAGAATGTTTAGAGGACTATTACCATAGGGTGGTTTGATTTGACATCATAACTGGACACCTTAGAAAACTTAAACTCGTCACGACAAGGAGCTTGGAGTTAGCGCGGTAGGCAACACGACCATTTTCAACAGCAGAACATGTCTTCCCCAGTTAAATCATTCCTTTCCTAGAATTTAAAATAATAATCCATTAGATTTCGAGGTTGTTCGCCTAGCGCAACATAAATCCTGAACCTTTTTCGTTAGGTATTCGTATGACTCTGCTGTACGATCTAAGCCCTAACTCGTTTAGGATTCCGAGATTGTCGTCCTTTACGACCTAAATCCTCACATCTTTCAGGTTATTTGTGTGAGCGTTTCACACAAATGTAAGTCTTACTTAAATAAAATTGGCAGGATACAACACTTGAATATTCCTCCTCGAAACTGAAGCCAAACCATAGGGTAGACTGGGAAGCTACCGTGGATCTCCTCTGGATCTGTGACACCCCCTAGTTCTTTTTCCTTTGGATCCTTTAATAAATGTCTCAAGTTTGAACCATTCTCTTTTGCACACCTCTTTGTCAAATTTCGTTAAAAAGTCTCATCCTTTTGAAATCCTTGAAGATAATTTTTTCTGATTTTTATCGAGAGTATTCTTGAGTGGTTTCGATCATTTAAGTTGTAATTAACTATAGGGGTTTGCCCTTATAGGGAGTTTTTTCGAACCCAGCTTAAAATAAACCCTATTTAATTCTTTGTATTAAATAGGGGAACTTGTCGGCAAATAAATCGACAAATAAAATAATTTTGCAGACCAAACGGACGTCATATATATCTTATTTTATCTGATCAAGTCTCATCCTCAAGTCTTGTGTTTATCCCTCGTGATAGATACAGGATTTGAGGTAGAACGCTCTTTCATTTAACCTGTGAAAAATATGAGGTCAGTTTGATTTCATATTTTTCTAAAATTATATATATATACGTAAAATAAAGTCCTTCCGAAACGGGCGACGGGATTTCGATTCCAGCTACCGACAGCTTCTCACGGGCGACTCCTCCCCCAATCCACCCATCCACCCTTTTCCCCGCCGACACACTAATATTATTTACCATTTAGATACTTTAATGACTTCTAAATCTCTTTTAGACCCCATATTGTATGGGAAACTACAAATATTTCTGATGCGAAAAACTATCACAATTTCTTTTATGATTCTATGGCGATAACTTAATTAAATGAGAAAATTTATGCTTTCTTTACTCCACCTCTTACCAGCCCTAAGTTGATATGGCGATAACTCATCCTATTTCAATTGGTTTACATCGGGGATTGGCTTTAAGCGCATATCTTTTTGCTATAATTATGAATTTTTTACTGAACATTTACAGGAGAATATACCTTTGTGTATGTTTTTTGCTGATGATATCCTTTTCAAGAATAAGACTAAGGGAAAGTTCTAGAAAAACTAGAATTATGGAAGTCAACTTTAGAGTATAGAGGCTTTCGTTTGAGTAAATCTACAACCAAATACATGGAATGTAATTTTGGTAATAGTAGATCTAGTAGTATGGTTGTAACAATGGGTGATCAAATCATTAAAAGAAGTGAATGTTTTAGATAACTTGGGTCTATTGGTAAAAGCAATGGTTATATAGATGATGATGTTATTAGTAAAGCTCAAGTCAGATGGTTAAAATGGAGGGTTGCATTAGGCTTATTATGTGATAGAGAAGTACCGCTTAAACTTAAAGGTGAATTTATAAGATAGTGGTGAGATCTGAATGATTTATGGCGCGGAATGTTAGCTAGTAAAAGAGAAACAAAAAATTAAGTTAAGCGTTACTGAGATGAGAATGCTCAAGTGGATGAGGGCTTTACATTTAGAGATAAAATATGAAACAAATATATCAGTGAAAGAGTTGGAGTAGCTCTAGTGGCAAACAAAATCAGAGAGAATTGCCTTAAATGGTTTGGTCATATTAAAATTCGACCATCTGCTTGCTGAACCTGTTTGGAGATTAGCTGTGTTAGATTTGACTTTTGTTAAGAAATATAGACGTAGACTTAAAAAAACTTAGGCATGTTGTACAAAAAATTATCTTAATTTATTTGAATTAAACAAAAATATGACACTCAATAGAACACAATGGAGAAAATCGATTCATGTGGTCAGCCCGACTTAGTAGGATAAAGGCTTATTGTTGTTGTCGTTGTATATGTTACAAGTTATCATCGAGTTTACTATGAAGCATTTAACAAGTTATTTATTGAATAATAAATGAACTGTTTCGACATAAATAAATGACTCGAACTATGTTTAAATTTGGTTCATTTAACCAGGGAGTATTCAAAAAAGGTTCAAACTTTTATATTTACAAAGTTGAACAAAATTGAATTAGTGATCAAAAGTGCAGCGATTCATTTATAGCCCTTGCTAGAACAGATCAATCAAAAAGAAAATATAATTCATATTTATTTACATGTAACTTAAGGCATATTTATATTCCCCGCATGCTCAATTAGACAAAATTAGTAAATTTTACCTTATCAATATGACAGTTCCAATAGAATCAGATCATGCTATTTAAAATAGGTGCCCTAATTGTGATTAGCATGATGACAGACACCCATTCTTTGACCAATCATGACATCAGCAATCCATATCTACTTGAGAGATCTGCAAAAACAACTGACAAGACATTATAACCTTTTGCTAAAACCATGGCGACATGCAAAGTAAAATTCAAGTTCATGACACTATGCAAAGTAAAAGTCATTTCATGATAAATAGTTAGAGAAACAATGGGTAACAAAAAAATAACGATGACAACATCAAATATTTACCTCGAAGAAAGTGAAGAATATACTTGCTAAACACTTGTCGAAACTGAAATAAAATGGGAAGAAAGAATAATGCATTCAATCCTTTAAAGAGAACATATGATTCCCTACTGCTGATATAGGTTGTATAAATTTATTTTCCATTTTTATTCCAAAACACTAAATGCTCAACTGGACAGCCACATGTATGCTTCTCACTGTGCTAACTGATGCATTTTGGTATTGGTAAGTGGTGTCACCAATAGTCTCCACAAGAACAAAATCCATCCTTAAAATGATGAAATCTTCTTACATCCCTCAAAATGATATCTCTATCTAAAAGTTTAGAGATGAACTTGGTGGCCTCGTGGCAGTCATGGCATATTCTAAGGTTTTTAGCAACTCTAATAGTTGAACCAGGAGGTGTGTTCAGTAAACCAAATGCTATTGCCAGTTTCTCACTATGGCCACAAAGAAGAATCTCTTTCTCATCCTCCTCAACATTGTGAAGAACACAAGTTGTATCTGGCACATAGCCTTCTTTCCTCATTTTTTCCCATAGAACATCAAGGTATGCATGCAGCCGTGCGCTCTGCGGATGTAATGAATCCCCAGCAGTGAATTTGTGGACTTTGTCACCAACTTCAATCCAGCTGCAACCTGGTTCTTTTCTTACTCCCATCTCCTTCATCCTCTTCCTAACTTCATCTGCCCTGTCCCACAGGCCAGAAGCTGCAAATATGTTAGAAAGAAGAACATAGTGGCTGGCCTCATTGGGTTCTAGCTCAAAGAGCTGATTAGCAGATATTTCACCAAGTTTAACATCTCGGTGAATGTGGCAAGCACCCAATAAGCTGCTCCATGCTCCCGCCTGGTTTGAGTCAGGTTCCATTGTCTTGATGAGTTTATATGCTTTTTCCAGTTGCCCAGAACGACCAAGCAAATCTACTACACAAGCATAGTGATCTGGACTGTGCTTTACTCCATAGTCCACTTCCATCTTATTAAACAATTCCAAGCCTTCATTAACCAACCCAGAGTGGCTGCAAGCAGCAAAAACTGCAATGAAAGTAATCTCATTAGGCCTAACTTCCCTTCTAGCCACCATATCATGGAACAGCTTGAGTGCTTCCTGTCCATGCCCATTCATTCCATATGCCATGATGAGTACATTCCACGTAATTACATTGAGTTTGGGCATTCTCTCAAACACCCTTCTAGAAAGAGTTAGGCACCCACATTTTGCATACATGTCAACCAAAGCACTACCCACGGCAATATCGTAATCTAATATATTACGTATAGCATAGCAATGGATCTCCTTCCCCTTAGTTAGTGCTGTTAGAGAGGCACATGCTGGAAGAAGAATCATCAGAGTGATGTTATTTGGTCTGTGATGATAAAGCCTTTCAGAATTCTTACTTTCTTCTCCTGCTTCTTCACAATCTGCAGTTCTCTTTCTTGTTATTTGCATCTCAGACAAAAGTTTAAAGGCTTCTGTGAACCGGTCAGCAGCAATACAGCCTGAGATCATGGTGTTCCAAGTAACCACATCTCTAGAACCCATACTGCTGAATATCTTCCAGGAAACCTCCATCTTTCCAACCCTTGAGTACATATCCATAAGAGCATTCTGCACATACTTGTCAGACTCTAAACGCCTCTTCACAACATAACCATGGATGCTTTCCTTAGAGCTAAACACCTGGGAACGCACACAAGAAGGGAGGACACTAGCTAAAGTGGTGGCATTTGGACACAACCCTGCATCCTCCATCACGATAAAAAGGTTCAGTGCCTCTTCATCAAATGCATTCTGTGAATATCCAGAGATCATTGCATTCCAAAGCCCCAATCTTTGTTCTGAAACTCCATCAAAAACATGACGGGCCTTCACAATCTCTCCAAAGTTACAATACATGTCCACCAGTGCACTAGCAACAAATGAATTCCCACACAAACCATCATTTCTGATGGAAAAAGCATGAATCTCCTTCCCAAAATCCAACCAATCGGCATGGGTACAAACTGGGAGAATGCTAGAAAGTGTAACACCATCTGGTTTAATCCCATCAACAACCATTCGATGCAGGACATCCATTGCCTCCATATATTGCTCATTCTGCGCCAGAGAGCTGATCATCGTATTCCAGGTGACCATATCAGGATTGTCGAACATATCAAACAGAACAACTGAATCCCCTATACTACCTAACTTAGCATAAAGCCCTATCAAGGAATTATATGTGTATGTCTTTCCATCAGAATACAATCCCACTCTAAGCCCGTGCCCATGCAGCTCCTTCGCAAGCCTTCTTCCATCAAGCCTCCCGAGGTTCGAACAAGCCTGTGAAACACTAACAAGAGAAAACGAGCTCTCATGAAAACCATCCTCCAGCATAAACCTAAAGCACTCCAATGCCATCTCCCACTCCTCAAACAAGCACAATGCAGATATTATCGAATTCCAGGAAACTTGATCCCGTTCAGATATTCCATCGAACACCTTGATTGCGTTGCGTAAATCGCCACACTTCGCATACATTGTCAGCAGGGAGTTCGGAACAGCGACGGGTGACGAGATATAACCGGATTTGATGGAGGCGGCGTGGAGCTGGCGGCCTAAGGCGAGGTCATGGACGCCGGCGGAGGATTTGATGGCTGCGGGGAAGGCAAAATGGTCAGGAAGGGCTCCGGCGGCGGTCATGGAGACGTAGGTGCGAAGAGCGGAGTGGAAGCAGTTGGAGCGGGAGTGAGAACGAAGGGTTTCGACCCATGATGAAGACGGCGATACGGGCTCGCCGGCGTCGGAGTAAAAGGTAGGAGGTGGTTTTTGAATGTCGGTGGGTGAATGAGGTTGTGGAAGAGAAAGGGAGTGAGAGAGAGCAGAAGAGAGGGGGATTTGGAGAACCGACATTGTTGGTTGAGCTTGCCGGGGCTTTGCCCCTTCGCGGGGTTTCAGCGGGTAACCGCTGCTACTGGTGCTATTATTATTGATGTCTGTAAGAGAAATCTTGGCCGTAGAATGATTAATTAATGTTTTAGTATTGTGTGATAATTCATTAGATATTTAAATTATAAAAATGATGGATAAAAATATTTTTTTTTTTTTATGTAGAAAATTAGGAAAAAAAATCACTAGTCAAGTTGAAGAAATTTCCTATAAGATAACGATTACAAATATGTAGTCTCTTTTCTCATATGATGATAAAAATTATAAAACCTCTCAAGTTGTAACGTCGGTGCACGAAAGAACGTATGCCCCTAACGGTAGAGAGCGGTCATAACGAGGAGCGATAGTTGGGGCTTCGGTGCGATGTCTTCCGGGTTAGCATGACACCTGGGGTGAGGCGCCGCTTTGTAGGTTGCTTCGTACAGTGCTTCATAGCAATGAATGGGCGGCAGTCGATGGTAAACGGCTTTGGCCAATGAGTGATGATCGACTGTGGTTGGCACCGGATCGTCGGTGCAAATGTAATGATGGACTTCAGCTATTCCTTTAAGATTTAGTCCTCTTCAAGCTTCATGATCTCTGTCTCATCTCAAGAGGGGATAAAACTCTACTTATATATCGTTATAATCGGACAATCCAGAGAAATCTATCTAATAAGACGGCGTCCGAGGGTCATTCTAGCGTCTTAAAAAATCTTAATTGGGCGATCTTGAGCTCTTTGGATTTGTCTTGTCGTACACTCGATTCGAAAATAAGCTTGTCGAGTTCAGAATTTGTTTCACCTTTCAAAAATATCTGGAATGCTTTCAAAAGAAGTTCAATGGCTTGATAGGAGTTTGATTTGACTTTAATTGGATCAATTTTGTTGTCGTTGTCGAGCCAGTCAGTTTGAATATAAGTTTTATTAAATCGAAGCATTGGATGACTTTTAATAAAAATTTGAATAATTTTTGCTCGAATGCTATCTTGAAATTCGTGATATGTCTCAAGAATCGTGTTAGATGATGAAAATTTATTGGTGGCATATCACTTGCTTCCTATTTTTTTGTGGGATCAAATCCGTCATCCAAAATATCGAAATATGGAGCACTTTATTTTAATCATTGTATCATTCCTATAAATATATTGGAATATAGTATATCCACAGCTGATGGGATATTTATAAACATTTATTCACATAAATCTGATAGTTTATATGCGGATTTGTGTACCTGATTTAATTTATTAGGAAGAATATCTTATTAAAGGATTTATAATAATAAATATATTTATAGCTAAGTTCATGGTGATAGTTTGATCCAAAAGGAAAAAATTCCTATCTATTTATGGCAGGGTGCTCTTTTTATTATTTTTTACAGGAGATAATTTAAAGAAAATAAAATGTGAACGTTTAAGTCATATAAGATTACCCTCAGATGATATTGACATTGGGTGCGAACGTTTAAGCCATATAGGATTGCCCCCCAGATGGTACTTGCAGGGGATGCGATGTACCCGTACATGATAAAACAAATGATAAAGATTTACTTTCGGGTGCAATTTTGAGGGTACTTTTAGGTAAATTTTTAAGGGTACCTTGAGGTACATATTCTTAGAATATCTTCGAGTAAAACAGTAATTTTGTTATATCTCTTAAAGAGGTGAAAAATAGTAAATACTTAAATTGACATGAGAATGGATAAATTTAAAATGAAAGTTTGAAGAAGGAAATGAGTTGTACTTTCTTTTGGTTATTCATGTATATCATTGTCATAATAATTTAAAGTATATTAAGATTATAATTAGTCACTAAGCCAAACATACTATTGAATTTAATATTTTTTTCAGAAAAAGAAAAGTTGTAGGTTGTTATGTCTGACATATGGGATTTAATTTACAAGAGGAACACTGTCAGTCATTTTTTATGATAGTTTCTTTACGTTGGTTTCATGAGATAGTGATATAATGTTCAATATTATTTTGAGATGTTGTTTATGGATAAGGAACTTGGATGCAATACTTGAGAGTTGCTCTCTCTCTCATTTCCTCACTCAAATTGGTGGAAGGAGGAGCTTGGTCAAATTGAAGTAGTGTCAAGCTTTGGAAGGTGCATTTTGTTTAGATGAAGCAAAAATTACTTTATGGTCATTCCTCACTTTCCAAGCCCCTTCGTCATTTGTCAGGAATCTAATGATCTTATTCAATTCAGAATCAGTATGGGTAAAGCTAGAGTAGAAACTCTCAAGAGACATCTCCCTAGGAGAATAACACATTGATGTATGAAGGAGAATCATCCACCTGCTTCTCCCTCACAAATATTGAATCATCAGAAGTCTCAGGGAGTTTAGCATAGAGTTTCCTAACTACATAAATAACTGCTACAATCGCAGTATAATAAAAGTTCTCCCAGTCTCTCCTAACAATCATACTTTCCACCTGGCCCCTAAGGCTAATGAATCCCCTCTCCACAATCAACTTCTTAGACACTAAGAAGTCGTTGTAATGCTCCTAAGCTATGGAGCTTAAGAACTTATTTTTGTCATATGAATTTGATTTTCCACCATTAATTTTTGGAGCCATAGGAAAGTAGTAATGAAAATGAATAGGAATGAAGATAAGAAACGATGTGGATGGAAACAATATGCTAGTTATGGGCTTAATCTAATTCTTCCCAAAATTCCTCAACTTTTACCTTCTCCTCTAAAAATACTGATGAAATCCGAGATCAGAATTGGAAATATATGCTTAGGGAGTGGATTTTACCTTTTGGAAGTGATTTCCACTGACCAAAGCTTCAGGAATCGAATGAAAATGGAAGGAAAAGGGGAACCTTATAAATTTAACATTTTCATAAGAATCTTGTCTTTGACCAAAGCTTTAGGAATCGAATGAAAATGGAAGGAAAAGGGGAACCCTAAGTATCGCCTCTCAATCGCTGAAGAAGGGTCCAGGAGGAGGTTTTGCAAAAATGACCTAAACTAGGTTAGTTTAGGCATTATGTCGAGCGGGAGGGAGTGGCGCCTAAGCGGCACGATAGCAGCTCCAAGGCGCTATTTAGTCTAAAATGTGTCACCTTAGTGCCTGATTTTATTGGTTCCTAGGTACCTAGTCTGCTCCTGGCACTTTGGTGCCAGGAGCACTGATGCCTATCTGCTCGACCCAGATTTGGTCCTGGTCTCCTATATTGCAATTTTTTATCCTGCCCAAGTCCTTAATGACACTATCATATACTAAAGATAAATAAGAACGAATCATCCTCCTTCTCATTACATCTCCCTCCAATTCCTCTTCTCTAACGAAATCTCCTTATATTAATTGTCACATGTTTTTATACATTTTTGTAAAGATATTTAGGTCCAAATAACACATTTACTATTGGCTTATGTGTTTCCAACCTTTAGGTACTACACTGTATAATAAAGTATACACCTTTGTCAGTTTAATGAAAAGATCATCCACTTGCTCCTCTAATAGCTGGTTTATTTAACCAAATTGATGGAAGTACCAGGTTAGAAACAGGAAGTAAGGATGTGAGATGGACCTATTCTATGTCCAAACTGAACATGTCTCTTGTAAATTCTTATGCTCTATTGAGAACTCGGGTGTAGAGGACTAGGTTGGTCCTACTACCATCAAAAGACATATTAAAGTCCAGCCATCAACAAGAAGACTAAGGATTCATCTCCCTCAATTCACACACTCAAAATCTTTCTCAATAATCTCTTGATCGTGTCATTTTTTTATTTTATCCTTATAAATTTAACATTTTCATAAGAATCTTGTCTAATCTCATCGAGTTCATTTGACTGTAGTAATCTTCTCTCGCCTGCATCCTTCATATTGTAATAAACTCTTTAACAGCCCAATAAGCTTTATGTTCTGATTTCAATGGTAAGTAACAAACATTGTCAAATATGAGCCTATATGAAGACATTCCTATAGATGTTTTATAAGCTATTCTATAAGCTCATAATTCATCATCTAATGTTAAATACCAATCCTTTCTATTATGATTAACACTTTTCTCTAGAATCTTTTTGATTTTTCTGTTAGATTCTTATGCTAATCCACTCATTAGAGGTTGATATGCTGTGATAATGTTATGTTTAATTCCATACTTAGTAACTAATGTCTCAATTTTTCTATTGCTAAAGTGGCTCCCTCAATCACTAATGATCACTCTAGATTCTATTGCTATAGTGGCTCCCTCAATCACTAATGATCACTCTAGACATATTAAATCTACTAAATATATTCTTCTTTAAGAATATAGTTGCTCTTTGAGCATCACAATTTAGAAGAGTCACTGTCTCAATCCGTTTTGAGACATAGTCCACAATTATCAAAATATATAAATTCCCTAACTATGGTACAAAGGGACCCATAAAGTCTAAACCCTAACCATAAAAAATTTCAATATCCAAAGTAAAATTTAGGGGCATTTCATCATGATTAGAAATATTGCTAAATCTTTGACATCTATCACAAGTTTAAATATATTCATTCACATCTCTAGATAAAGTAGACCAATAAAATCCTAATAGCAAAATCTTAAAAGTAGTTCTATTAACCCCAAAATGTCCCCCAAATTCAGTATCATCACATTTCTTAATAATTTTGAGGCTTTCTTCTACAAGTACACATCTCCTAAATACCTGACCCTTAAATTTTTTATAGAGGTATGGGTCATCCAAGAAATAATAAATGGTGTTAAGGACAAATTCTTCCATTGATGTTATGTCAGGCCATAGAACATAATATCTCTAACTATGAAATTTATTATGTCAGCATTCTACGAAATATGTCATTCAGTAATAGCAAATAATTGTTCATCCGAAAAATTCTCATTAATCTCATCTTAATAATCATATGAATTCCCCTGATCCAGTCCTGATAAATGATCAACTACTTGATTCTCAGTACCCTTCCTATCCACTACTTTGATATCAAATTCTTGCATCAGAAGGACTCATCTAATCAATCTCAGTTTAGCATCATTTTTTGACATCAGATATCTAAGCACATGGTCAGTATATGACATGCCTAAAAATCTGCTACTTTTATTTATACATT